GTGTTTGACTACATTTCCAAACACCGAGAAGAGAGTTGAAAATACGACGCGTAGCAGAGTATTTTTGACGAACTTCGAGGTGTTGGGAAATGTGCTCAAAAACTGTCTTGAGTGTTTAATACATCTTCTCAATCGAAACTAAACCTGAGGAAAAAACAGATGAAAAAAATCGTAAAAATCTATGTATGCTAAAATATTAGGATCAATTATCCAAACAACGCGAAGATCATGATTTCCTTTGTTTAAACTTGATGAATTATTAATAAGTTTGTCCGAGAATATAAACTGAGACATGCGATCCAGCTGTTAGGAATTCATTTCTTCATTTCTTATTTTCTACAGATTGAAATAGTAATTGTTAACCTTGCCTGGTAAGTCTACTCCTTGAAAACTTGAAGGTTAGTAAAACGAGTCGTCTTTCGTCCAGTCATGTCTCAAATAAGAAATTCAATCATATAATTTCTCAATAATCCAACTGAAGTGAGCCAGTTCGTCTTCCTTGTATCATTTTAATACCGGTAAATTTATAATATGGGCTATTTTGTCGTGATTGAAATGTAACAGAGAACCAAGCTAATGTGATACTTTTCCCAGCCTAGTTTTTCAGCGAAAAAGCTGATATCGAATAACCTCATTTATGGCAAATATTTTTAGTAGCGTTATATATTCAGTGATACACTTTCGACCATGTGGACTTCATTAGTTATTGAAAATTGGCTATCAAAATTGGGTTTGAAAATGTACTGGCAATGATTATGAATAATATGCATGTGTGGTAGGAAGTCTAAGACAGATTGATCGTCTCTGATCATTTAGCGACTACGTTAAACCCAAAATCATCGTTAAACCATTGACTTTTTGAACTCACGTATTTTGAAGCATTGAGGTAGGTTATTAACGATTCGTTTCGTTTTGTTAAAGAAAGCTGAACGATAACGTTGAGCAAAAAATGAAACGTCATAATTTGCTATTCAGCTACTTAAGTTTGAAGTAATTTTTAAACCGGTTAACAGTTACGGTTTCTTGCTCTCCATTGGCGCCATCTGAACAATAATACCACCGATTGACTGGAGGCAGCGTGGCCAAGTGGTTAGAGCGCCGGATTTGAAATCCGTAGGTCCCGGGTTCAAATCCCGTTCTGACCGCTGGCTGATGTTGTTCTCGGTAGCCCCGAGTTCAACTTATCGGCTGCGCTTGTAAATAGCCAACTGGTCTCCTCCCGCCAGTTGGGATTCTTAACCTAGTTATGTTTATTTGAATATTTATTTATCATTGTTTGCTTACATTGGTCCTGAAAAGTCCCAATAGGGAGTGGCTAATTAAGTAAAATATAAAATATAAATATTCATCTGTTGCGGTATATTGTCACCGTCAGGCATAAATGCAAACCCTGAAGCCGTGTGCCGGTGATTCTTTCTGGTGGTTTCGGCGGCAAGTATGCCACTTATGGTGAAAACCCCCCGGGAGGTGGTACTCGTAGAAAAATTGGGTAGGGGTGTGCGACCAGCTTGCCAGAACTCTTACCATTCTTAAGACCAAACTCTACGATATTCCCTAGCCTATTTATGGCCTGACCAAAAATTCGATACCCCATATAAGACCTGACCCTTAAATCAATACCCTGTTCAGACCTGCCTTATAATTAGTTCCTACTTCAGACCAATGTTAGACTAAATGCAATGTTTATATGCTTTTATGAGGTAGGATAGCTCGATTCCTCTAGAACACATACCCAATTCAAGACTAGAGAGCGAAAACACCTATTCGATACCAAAATAGCCAAAATCGATACCCTACCGTCCTTTCTGACTAAAACGGCTGAAAATCATACCCTTTGGGGCCACACGTACATATAGAGCCGTCATACAAGGGAGCACCATCCCCTGGGTGAAAATACTGCCGCCATCTGAAACGGACCAAAGCAACTGTACAATGGACGAAAAACGGAATCCGTTGTCAAATCATTGCCGTAAAAGAGGTTTCAGAAATGCTCACAGTATTTAAACAAGATATATTTAGGGACGACTTTGTCTTATTCTTTTCTTGATGCGCGCGTTATTTCAGAAACCGAACTTATAATAGCGGACATTTCTAACATCTTATTTTCCCCTGTTTCTCCTGCCATGCATATTCACATCTCTCAGTTGCTATTTCAACAAGGTGGATTTTACTAAGAAAAAGTGTTTAAACCCATTTACGAATTACTTACGGAGAAC